TGGACCAAGCTGAGGTGGTGGCCTTGGGGGGAATAGGGGTTAGGTGGGAGGGGGCAGTGGGGTGAGAAGAGGGGGTGGGGGGAATTTGGGATGTGCAGGGCTGTGGTGGCCGGAGAAAGAGGCAACTTTCCCCAGCCCCAGAGCTGCAGCTGCCAAGGAGAGACTCCCCTCCTTCCCAGCCCCAGCTCGGGGGCTGCTGTGGTGGGGGAGAGACCTCCCCTCCTTCCCAGCCCCAGCTCGGGGGCTGCTGTGGTGGGGGAGAGACCCCCCTCCTTCCCAGCCCCTGCTTAGGGGCTGCCGCAGCAGCGGGGAGAGGGCACTTTCTTCGCATTAGAAAGGTAAGACTACCGATATTAAAATATGAGTTGTGTGCTTTTATTTGTACAACAAAAAAACATTAATTATTATTAAGGTTTTTTATATAGTGCTTTTATCTAAAGCGTTTTACAATAGTTAGCTAACAATACAAACAACATTTGGAAGGATCATTAAGTGGTCTGCCGAGACCCTCGGCAATTTTCAAGTGGTCGAAAAAAAATGTTTGAGAACCACTGCGTTATAGCATAGAGAGTTAAGTTGAAGACAATGTAAATACTACTATTAGTTTCCGGCAGTATCTTCACATCTTTGATCTTAAGGTTAACTGAACCATCCACATGCATAATATAAAGCAATTTAGACATGAAAGGTAATTAGCATCTACAAGCTAATCTGGTTACATTGTTAAACTTCTAACAAGATATAGGTAAACACAGATAAATACACTTAGCATCTACCCCTGATTCTCTAATAATGCGTGCAAACAGGTTAAAGATTCTAGTCTACCTAACATGGCTTTGATAGGTTTCAGAGGGGTAGCCGTGTTAGTCTGTATCAGCAAAAACAATGAGGAGTCCTTGTGGCACCTGAGAGACTAATACATTTATTTGGGCATAAGCTTTCGTGGGCTAGAACTCACTTCAATGGATGCATGGAGTGGAAGATACAGGAGCAGGTAGAAATACCTGAAAAGATGTGAGTTGCCTTACCAAGTGTGAGGTCAGTCTAACGAGACAATTACATTGACCGCAGGATACCAAGGGAGGAAAAATAACTTCTGAAATGGTAATGAGAGTGGCCCATTTCAGACAGTTGACAAGAAGGTGTGAGTAACAGCAGGGAGAAATTAGTATTGGGGAAATTAGGTTTTGAAATGACCCAACCACTCCCAGTCTTTATTCAGGCCTAATCTGATGGTATCCAGTTTGCAAATTAATTCCAATTCTGCAGTTTCTTGTTGGAGTCTGTTTTTGAAGATTTTTTGTTGAAGAATTGTGACTTTTAAGTCTGTTATTGAGTGACCAGGGAGGTTGAAGTGTTCTCCGACTGGTTTTTGAATGTTATAATTCTTGAAGTCTGATTTGTGTCCATTTATTCTTTTGCGTAGAGCCTGTCCGGTTTGGCCAATGTACATGGCAGAGGGGCATTGCTGGCACATGATGGCATATATCACATTGGTAGATGTGCAAGTGAATGAGCCCCTGGTGGTGTGGCTGATGTGATTAGGTCCTATGATGGTGTCCCCTGAATAGATATGTGGACAGAGTTGGCAACAGGCTTTGTTGCAGGGTTTGGTTCCTGGATTGATGTTTTTGTTGTGTGGTGTGTAGTTGCTGGTGAGTATTTGCTTCAGGTTGGGGGGCTGTCTGTAAGCGAGGACTGGCCTGCCTCCCAAGATCTGTGAGAGTGAGGGATTGTCCTTCAGGATAGGTTGTAGATCCTTGATGATGCGCTGGAGAGGTTTTAGTTGGGGGCTGTAGGTGATGGCTAGTGGCGCTCTGTTACTTTCTTTGTTGGGTCTGTCTTGTAGTAGGTGACATCTGGGCACCCTTCTGGCTCTGTCAATCTTTCTTCACTTCACCAGGTGGGTATTGTAGTTGTAAGAACGCTTGATAGAGATCCTGTAGGTGTTTGCCTCTGTCTGAGGGGTTGGAGCAAATGCAGTTGTATCTTAGAGCTTGGCTGTAGACAATGGATCGTGTGATGTGGTCTGGATGAAAGCTGAAGGCATGTAGGTAAGTGTAGCGGTCAGTAGGTTTCCAGTATAGGGTGGTGTTTATGTGACCATTGCTTATTAGCATTGTAATGTCCAGGAAGTGGATTTCTTGTGTGGACTGGTCCAGGCTGAGGTTGATGGTGGGATGGAAATTGTTGAAATCCTGGTGGAATTCCTCAAGGGCTTCTTTTCCATGGGTCCGGATGATGATGTCATCAATGTAGCGCAAGTAGAGTAGGGGCGTAAGGGGACGAGAGCTGAGGAATTCCTCAAGGCAAATCACATCTTTTCATGTGTTTATACCTGCTCCTGTATCTTTCACTCCATGCATCTGATGAAGTGGGGTCTAGCCCACGAAAGCTGGTGCCCAAATAAATGTGTTAGTCTCTAAGGTGCCACAAGGACTCCTTGTTGTTATGGCTTTGATAACTATCTCCAAGGACTGGCCCTGTTTACCATTGCAATACCCTTTGGCTATGTCGTTAAGGATTGCTTACAGGTCACCTAACTTGCTGATTGTTAATCCTTTGTTGGCTCGGTGTTACACAGTGCAATTAGCACAAGCTATATTGTGATGTTTAAAATGGTCAAGGGACGCCCCCTAAACTGAGGGGCAGATAGTCACCCTAAGGGACAAATAAATGAATTGAGGGACGGTCCCTTAAAATAAAATTGATTTCCGAGTTCTCTGTTCTCACTTTGTGGACTGTAGCCCTCTTTCTAACACCTGGACAGATCATTCACCCCGCCAGTGGAGGGTGGGGCTCTAGTTAGGTGAGCAATTCCAATTAACTACATGCCTGCCTCAAATGCGGATAGAGTAAAACTGGGAACCGTTCGTTATAACGACAGCCAGCTCTGGGGTGTCAGTTTTGGCGAACAAGGGGTGAAATTCGCGCTGTGCAGTGAGCCAAGCCTAAGGGTTGGCACGGTTTCATAAACTCTATTTTAATGCTTTGGTTTAAGGATCTGCATTCTCGTGACGAAGCTCACACGCTCGGCAACCTCAGTGTTTCTGTCTCATTAAACTTACAAGGCCAATTTCGGAGGAGCGAATTACAGTTCTCAGTTAAAGATGATTCTATTAGTGTGACCAGGCCGAGCCCGCAAGTCCACGTTCAAAGCTAGTTGAAAATGCAAACTCCACACGCTAAGGTCCCACTCCTGTAATCAGATCCATGCAGGCAGAGCCTTGGTGCCCACATAGACTCCCACTGACTTTACTAAGGTGTTTGGAGCCTAGGTGTTTGCAGGCTCCGGTCCCAGGGAAGGAAGAAGGTCCATGCATAGAAGCTGATGGAGAGGAAAGCACAGATAGTTGTGGGAGACATGGGGAGATAGTTTAGGGTTACCATATTTTGTGCCTCCAAATGGAGGACACTCCCCGGGGCCCTGGCCCCGCCCACACCCCCGCCCCAAC